CCCCCCCCCCGCCACAGTGGAGAGGCCTGGGCCTCAGGCTAGTCCTGCAGCAGACCCTGTGCGACCCGCGAGGTCCCCCCGCTTCTCAGTCTGAGGGCCGGAAGGATGGAGGTCTGGCCGTTGCCTGAGGTCCTGAGACTCTGACAGGTTTCCAATGGTTTGGGTGAGCCCCGGGCTCCCCTGGGTGCAACAGGCCCTCCCTACAAGTGGCCTCTGCTGCCCTGGGAGGGGCCACGACCCCCGGCAGCCTCCTACATGTGCTAAATGTGCCTTCCGGCCAGGCCTGCACACAGGGACAGAGCAGTGCTCACCTTCCTCACAAAGGGAGGAAGGCGTGTGCGGAGGTGCAGAGCCCCCGGGAGGAGGAAGCCCGAAACGTGGGCTCTGATCTGTGGTCACGGGCTCCTTGAGCTGAATGGAGGCAGAGGCCAGAGGAGGAAGCCGGCCAGGGAGCTGAGAGCCGGGCACATGGTCAGCCCGAGAGGGGCCCAGCTCTCTTTGATTTTAAGTGTTCTGATGTACAGGGACTCCCCCACTCCCGCCCCAAGCCTCAGGGGTTGTTCTGCCATAGCTTGAAGCCCAGAGGCCAGTATAGCAATAAGAACATGACCTTGGGAGTGTAAGAAGCCAAGGCTTGGATCTGGTCATCAGTTTGGGCGGGGGAGACCCCCTTGAGACTCAGTTTCCCCACCTACCCATCACGGAGATAGGAAATTCTGTGGGGCTAAGCAAACCTGCCGAGGTGGGGGCTGCCACCCTGTCCTCAGAGGAGCTGCCAGCTTTTCCTCGTGAGCAAAAGGTTCAGCCCCGAGCACCCAGGTGCTCCCTGCAGGGGGCTCCCGCCTCCCCTCAGCGACCCACCGGAACCCCCCCTTTCCAACAGAGGGCCATGGTGGTGGGGGTGAGATCTGGCCACGTGCTCTGCTTCAGTCCAAAAGCCACGCGCACGTGACCATCGGCAGTGGATTGATGAAATTAAGCACAGATGGCTACTTTGTTGTTGTTCTTTGAACTGACAGCTGCTGGTATAAAAATAAATTAAATTAAATTTCACATAAGTCAGACTTTTTGGTCTTGAAGCCCAGAGGCCAGTATAGCAATAAGAACATGACCTTGGGAGTGTAAGAAGCCAAGGCTTGGATCTGGTCATCAGTTTGGGCGGGGGAGACCCCCTTGAGACTCAGTTTCCCCACCTACCCATCACGGAGATAGGAAATTCTGTGGGGCTAAGCAAACCTGCCGAGGTGGGGGCTGCCACCCTGTCCTCAGAGGAGCTGCCAGCTTTTCCTCGTGAGCAAAAGGTTCAGCCCCGAGCACCCAGGTGCTCCCTGCAGGGGGCTCCCGCCTCCCCTCAGCGACCCACCGGAACCCCCCCTTTCCAACAGAGGGCCATGGTGGTGGGGGTGAGATCTGGCCACGTGCTCTGCTTCAGTCCAAAAGCCACGCGCACGTGACCATCGGCAGTGGATTGATGAAATTAAGCACAGATGGCTACTTTGTTGTTGTTCTTTGAACTGACAGCTGCTGGTATAAAAATAAATTAAATTAAATTTCACATAAGTCAGACTTTTTGGTTTTTTTTTTTTAAATGATCTAAGTTTTTCTGTGTTGTTGTCGTTAAATTGTTTTCTTTCTTTTCAACATACGGAGACAGAGAAAACTCCAGGGCAATGGAAACAAGAATTAGAAGGAGTCGGCTCCCACGTGACCTTGGGAGTTGAAGAATGTCACATGGCACCTCCCTGTAGCCCTACGTCTCTCAAAGCCATGTAGGACCGTGGAGCTGCAAGTTTCAAATCCTGGCTCCTTTGTCTGAGCTAAGTCAGGGCCAGGGTGTCAGACAGGCTGGGCTTTAATCCATACTTGGCCACCAATCAGTCATGTAACCTTAGGCGAGTCATCTAGTTCTCTGGTCTCGTTTCCCTGGCCTGTAAAAGGGACCAGCAATGCTACCCTCAGGTGGGCCATCATGCCTGACACTTAAGTGCCCAGGAATTCTTGGCTCCAAATAGGAGCATGTCCGAGAGTAAATGGAGACCTATCCCACCTGGAAGGGTTATCGCTACAGAGAAGCTAACTCACATGGAAGATTTATCATGATGGAGAGGCTAACTCACCTGGAAGGGTCATCACGATGGAGAAGCTAACCCACACAGAAGGGTTATCACAATGGAGACGCTAACCCACACAGAAGGGTTATCACAATGGAGAGGCTAACCCACACGGAAGGGTTATCACAATGGAGAGGCTAACCCACACGGAAGGGTTATCACGATGGAGAGGCTAACCCACACAGAAGGGTTATCACGATGGAGAGGCTAACCCACCTGGGAGGGTTATCACAATGGAGAGGTTAACCCACACGGAAGGGTTATCACGATGGAGAAGCTAACCCACACGGAAGGGTTATCACGATGGAGAGGCTAACCCACACAGAAGGGTTATCACGATGGAGAGGCTAACCCACCTGGGAGGGGTATCACAATGGAGAGGCTAAACCACAAAGAAGGGTTATCACGATGGAGAGGCTAACCCACCTGGGAGGGTTATCACAATGGAGAGGTTAACCCACACGGAAGGGTTATCACAATGGAGAGGCTAACCCACCTGGAAGGGTTATCACAATGGAGAGGCTAACCCACCTGGAAGGGTTATCACAATGGAGAGGCTAACCCACCTGGAAGGGTTATCACAATGGAGAAGCTAACCCACACAGAAGGGTTATCACGATGGAGAGGCTAACCCACACAGAAGGGATATGACAAAGGTACAAGGAGAGTAGCTGGGAAGAGAACTACTGCAGACCTCACAGGTGGGATATTGGACAGAGGGGTCAAATACGCAGATGCGGAGAATGGAACTGCGGCTGCCATGGGTTGGGGAGTCATCGGTCAAAGGAAACGGGGCAGATTCATAGGATGCACAATGGAGAGGCTAACCCACCTGGAAGGGTTATCACAATGGAGAGGCCTGAGGTTGACAGCACTGGGCTGTGTTAGGGGTTTTGTTAAATAAAGAGATTTTAACTACTCTTGTCACAAAAGAGGTAACTAAGCAGGACAATAGGTAGGTCGCTCTGCCTCCTGCAGTAGCCATTTCACTAGCTTCACGTATCCCATAACATCATGCTGAAAACATCAAATACATACAATAACATTTACTTAATGGTGAGAGTGTACGGGAAGAACCCTCCAGCCCCACCTGTCTCACAACAGGCTCTTCCTCGTCCCCTACCCAACCCACCTCGCCACACCCCAAGCCTCAGCAGGGCTGCTGGGTGCCACCGCATGCAGAGGAGAAGGAGGAGGCTCTCTGGGTCTGGGGCAGGTCTGGGGTCGGAGTCTGTTATCCACACAGCCCTCCAGGCTCTAGCCCTGGACCTCCCTCCCTCTTCCCCTGGCTATGCCAGGAGCAGCCCGCTCTGGGACAGCCTGGCTCCTAGCCCAGCTGACTCACCCACAGATGAGCGTCTGGCCCAGGTAGGCCAATGAGAACCTTTCCCTGGAAGTTTTCTTGTTTTTAATTGCCAGAGGGAGCCTGTAATCATGCACTCAACAAGAGACACGCAGAGAAAGCACCCCTGCCAGGGCATAAGCCGGCATGTCCTCTCTGTTTCTTCATCCAAGCCATCAAACCGTGGTGGGTAGTGTGGGATCCTGCATCCTTAAGCACAAGGTTACGTGGCTGGTCCTTCCCTGGCATTGTTCTAATAGAGAGTTGTGAGTTGTCACCACCCAGAATTCTGGGCGGTGCTTCCGATGGGCCGGAGTAGTGTGTATTGCCTGCCCTGTGGAAGAAGGTGGCCGGGAGAGAGAGGGGTTGAGGCTGGCCACTCACGAGGGACAGAGATTAGAGAGGGAGAGAGGGGCGGTGGGGCTATCAAGACCAGTTCTACCCCTCCCTGAACCCCTATCACACCCTGGAACCCCTAGCACACCGTGCTTGCAACTCAGCGGTTCAGCTTGGCTCAGGATCTCTTTCCGCCAGTGCTGGTTCCAGGGAGGTGGCTGTCACTGCGATGGAATGGCTCCATCGTCCACCCTTGACGTGCAGAGGAGAAAAGGTGCACTTGGAATAGCAGGTGGAGCTGCGGAAGCTGGAGCGCTCGGGACCCTCCCAAGGGCACAGGCTAGTCCCAGGGGGAGTATCACAGCGGCCTGCAGGTGGCGCTTTGAGAACCCAGCCTGGAGGGGCCGGGCGGCTTGGGCACAGGAAGAAGGGACGGGGCTCCCATGCAAGAGTAGCACGAGTCTGGGTGCGGAGGCCGGCCTTGCACCCACGTGTGCAGCGGGTGAACCCAAGGGTGGGAAAGAAGGCGCAGGAGGTGGGCAAGCCAGACCATGGATGTCCCAAGGGCCTGGGGGGCCAAGCGGGTGCTGCAGTCAAGGAGGCCAGAGCAGCCACACACACTGCTCTCCCTCTCCGCCCAGGCGCTGCAACCAAGTGGCCATAGTGCTTCGCGTCCTTCGGAAGGATCAGCGCTCCCAGCAGCCAGCTGATCTGAGCCGCCTGCAATCCTGCTGCACCCGGTGGGGATGCTCACTGTGTGCTAGGCCGACCCCGCCCCACGGTTCTGCTGGGGTAGCAGGGGCACTGCTGGCTCAGCCCCGTCCCCACCCCAGGGGGTCCTATTCATGCAGTAGCAGGAGCACTGCTGGCTCAGCCCCGTCCCCACCCCAGGGGGTCCTGTTCATGTGGTAGCAGGGGCACTGCAGGCTTCTGGAAGGAGCAAGGAGAGGGCCGGAGGCCAGTAGCCACTGCTGCAATAAACTGAAGGATGCCCAGTTTGTCTAGGAGGGGGAGACAGGAGAGGTTAAAGGGCACGGCACCTGGCTGAGGTGTGGAAGAGGAGACACTGGGGGTGAGTCCACGTTTACAGCTGGGGCAGAAGGCAGGATGGGGTTTGGGCAGATGCCAGCTCTGCAGTTCACCTCTGACCCCTCCAGGAGCCGTGTTTCCGATCCAGCCTCCAGGACGAGGCTCGAGGCCACTGTCCCCGGGAGCAATTCTCCCAGTCCTTCCTGGCCAGAGGAGCCAGGGCAGCCCACCGATGGAAGTGACTACATGCTTTAAGATCGGGAAGCAAAGTGCGTTTCCCCAGAGGATGGGCTCCCCCGTCCCCAGGAACACCTTTCTGAGAATCTGTAAGTATGACTGGGACACACACCTGGCTTTGGACAGCCCTCGCCTCACTGGGCCTCTGGTTGGCATCTGTCTTTGTCACCTTGGACTGGAGCTTAGAACCACAGGGGCGTCTCTCACAGCTGTGGGGCTGGAATCGCACTGTGAGGTGCCGGCAGACTCCCTGCTCCGTGAGGGCCTGCCCTCTGGTTCATAGCCAGCCCTCCTCTCACTGTGACCTCACATGGGAGAAGGGACAGGGAGCTCTGAGTCACTTTCCTACGGACACTAATCCCAGTCGCCAGGGCTCTACCCTCATGGCCCGGGGCCTCCCAAGGCCCTGCCTCCTTACCTATCACCCGGAGGGTTGATTTCACCACCCGGATGCTAGGAAACCCCTCCCATCCTGGCAGCACCCACTAAGCAAGGCGGATGGAGGTGAGCAGCGGCTTTAGATTTGTTGCGCTTTGCTTTGTTTTATAAGCGAGCGAGCATTTGCACACAGGAGGGAGAGATGGGAGGCATTTTTGACAGTCTCTCCACATCGAGGCCTCTTGCCTCAGCTTCCCAGTCAGCTAGAGCCACGCCGGGCCTGCCGGGAACTGAACCTGTACCTCCCATGTGGCCTCAGCCACGGCGCAGCAGTGCCCTCCCGCTTGTGCCCTGCAGCTGAGCCAATGGGTCTGTTTTCTAAGCAGCTGACCCTCACTCAAATGCCCACCACCTTTATATACCCAGTCCCTGCTCCAGGAGTGAGGGGTGACAGGAAGCAGCTTGCTGTCGCTCAAAGCTCCCTGTCTAGAAGACAGTTTTGTCGGATCCCCCCTAGCCGGCCTGGGCAACCCAGAGGATGGGCAAAAGGGGGGCAGTCAGGACTCCTGGGATCTAAGAGTAGAAGCGGGAGAGCGGTGGCGAGGGGGCAGAGCGTCCACGAGAGCACAGCCCCATTCTGACTGGGCGTCCAGAGTTACAGATTCCTTGGGTGTGGCCGCCCGAGGAACTGCAGTGCTGACCCCAAATCCTGTGGCCCAGGGGCCTGAGGAAGCAGGGTGCAGGGCTCCTGCCTGAGGCTCCTGACAACCAAAGCTTGAGCAGAGGTAGCCCCACATCAGACAGGACAGTAGGGACAGCTCAAGCCACCAGGAGGAGCGCACTGAGCAGACACAGGCTCTGTCCAAGTGGGCGGAGGAGGAGGGCACCAAGGAACGCCCCTCCCGGAAGGCCTGGTCAGTTCTGGGGAAAGAGGAGCACGGCTCAGGAGGGCAGTCCCCAATCTGCGGTCAAGGAGCTCCTGCCATTTCATTAGGAGAACGAGGGGCACGACCTCGCTGGCATTCTGAACCAGCAAGGCCGTCCTTACTAGTTTTGCACAACGCAGGAAACAAAGTGCTCTTGCTGAAGGAACCCGGAACACCTATTGCTGCACCCACCCCTGGCCATCTGCCTTCAGTAAGGTGGTCCCCAGATCCACAGTGCTAGAGGCCCCTGAACCCAGAGAGCTGCCCCACACTCTCCACCCACTCTCAAACCCCATTTTCAGGGGAACCCAGAAAGCACCTGGAGTGGAAGTCAGAAAAGCATGGCTGCCACGCCTGCTCCGCCCCCACGCGGGCTCAGTGGCCTGC